GTTCTCGACTCATTTTGCTTCCAACTGAGATTTGTAATTGCCTAAATGAAAGCATCGATTTTAATGTTACAAATTAGCAATTATTAAAACACAACATATTATGCGATTCTTCCTACTAAGTATTGTCAGTACACAGCAGTCTGATACCTTCAACATATCCAGTTGGACTCATTTTTACTCAAAAATTTAAACCAAAGAGTTGTAAGTCAATTTTAATATAAGAGGAAAATACCACAAAAAACCCCAAACTATGCCACCTGTGACAAATTTATCATAAACGTTTTTTTGTAACACAAAAACCCCAAACTATGCCACTTGTGACAAATTTACCCTGAACTTTTTTTTGTGATACGAAAAAACCTCAAACTACGCCACTTGTGACACATTTACCCTACAATACTTTGATTCACGGGCATTTTCGTCTTTTTTCTTTTTCTGTTTTTTTTCCTTTTTTTTGTCTCTTCTTCTCTCATCCTTCCGTCGGCCATGGCGGAGGGAAGAGAGACTAAAGGAAAAAAAAAGGAAAAAAAACAGAAAAATGAAAAAGACGAAAATGCCCATGAACCAAAGTATTGTGGGGTAAATGTGTCACAAGTGACATAGTTTGGGGTTTTTCGTGTCACAAAAAAAAGTTCAGAGTAAATTTGTCACAAGTGACATAGTTTGGGATTTTTCGTGTCACAAAAAAAAGTTTAGGGTAAATTTGTTACAGGTAGCATAATTTGGGGTTTTTTGTGATATTTTCCCTTAATATAATAATTGCTTCACATCACACCAATTATCTGATATGAGACTTTTCTAACACAATCGTGTGTGCATCTCAACATCGTAAAACACAGACAATTAGGAATTTTCTTAATGGCACCGAGCCCCTCATATTCTACATTGATATAACTAGACTTTATGCACACGCTACGCACATTCCCGATTATTAATATCGTTACATGTACCCTCTTATGTGGTGACTATTTGTGTTAATTTTGCAAAGTGTGATTAACAAAGCGATTATAAGTCCGAATGGATTCGGCCCATCATCCCTTTCGTGGTCACATTGCCATCCCTTGGAAAAGCCCAAAAGTCAACAACAGTGCCCAAAGGGAATAGGCCCATTGGCGACGCTTCTCTTCGTTCTTCTTTCTCGTTATATTTATTTAGTTTACATTTACCTTAACGTTTGACTATCTCATGTTATCCGAAAGAGGAAAAATGAGACAAAGAAGGTTCGCATACAAAATCCGAATCGAGATTTCCTTTTGTTGCTACGTCATCGCCGCCGCCGCCGCCTCATCCTTGAAACATATATCGCGACCCCGAATGTTCCTAAGACGATCCAATCAGTCGATTTCAACGTACAACCCAATAATGAATTTGAAATTCATTAAGTTTAACTTGCATCGAAAACAGACGTGCTGTATGTAGGTGTAAAGGCGCGACGTATAAGTTTAGCTCGATTTGCCCCCCTTATAGCACGGCCAGGAGCGGCGTCGTTTCGCAGCACGCGTCGCACGGACTAGATAAAGAGAAGGTGCAGGGAAACGTCACGTGAATCGCACGGGACGCGGACAGATTCATCGTATTCTCATTAGCTGTTTCCTTAGAGTCCACGTCGTTTCATCATCCTCCCCGTCTTCGTTCTTTTATCTCCTTCTGCATCTTCCTCTCCCTTCCTTCCATCCGTCGGATTCTTCGTTGGTAAGTTTTGTTTATTCTTCTTTGTGTTTGTGATTCCCGAGGTCAAACGTAAAAGCCCATGAGAAATAAAGAGGAAAAGCTCCAGTTCACGCCGAGCACGACAGTAGCGGCCATCGTCTTCGATCTCTCGCATTCACGACGGCGCACGGCCATTGCTCACGCTGCCATCCGCCCATTAAACTAAGAACGTATTTGCATAAACAAAGCAAACCATCATCGCGCCACCTTCCCCGCTTCTCTCGCTCTCTCTCTCTCTCTCTCCCTTCCCTTATATCTATCGCCCGAATCGATATTAGACGCGGATAGGTAGAGAGAGAGACGGAGCAGATGGAGATCGCTTACCGTTCGAAGTACTTGAGAAACGACGCATCGTCCGACCAGGGGGCGGCGCCGGCATTCTCGTGGAGGTGGACGGCGAGGAGGGCGTGGAGACGGCTGGCGAGGGGGAGGAGGAAGCTGGCGGCCAGGGTCACGAGGAGGATCGGGTGGATCTCCCTGCAGGTGAGGAGGAGGGTGTTCAGGGTTTCGTCGGCGGGGGACTATCAGGAGGTCGGCGATCACCGGCAGCCGGTGAGGTACGACATGTCGAGCTACGCGAAGAACTTCGACGACGGCGAGTGGCAGCAGGAGGAAGAGGAGTATTACAGTAGTCGGTCCTTCGCTTCTAGATTCGGAAGAGCTGTAGATGAATAACACCTGCAAACTACTACTACTTCTTGTTCTGCTTCTTCTTCTTGAGCTTCATTGCATCTGTTCCATTGATTCTGTGATTGATTCTTTTGATTCTATCGCAACATGACGAGCAATAAATACTGGTTGAAAAGGATAAGTACGTGAACATCTTCTACTTCATACCAAGCAAATTTACATCTTTCCAATACGATGAACTTGGTGCATTAGATCAGGTAGTTTTTGCTTTCTACACCAGATCGTACCGACGGGAGTCGAGACCCGAGATGTTTGAAAAGCTCGAGAGCCCGAACCAGCCCGATCTAATCGGACTCGGACCGATTTGTTCATTCGGACCCAAACTTATCTTTCCGAGCCTAGGAAAAGAAAACTGATAGTTCTAGCTCCAGGTCGAACAACAATTGGATTAGGATTCATTTGGTTTACATGCTCAGTAGAAAAGAGCGAAGCTGGAGCATTGTTGTAGAACTTAGTGTGCCAGCTATTCGACAATATGAATTAGGGTACTGGTTACATCACGAGATTAGGTAGCTTATGTGACTCGTAAAGGGACGTCTGAAGAAGCTCGGGAGCTTGATCCAACCGGTTAACATTGCTATCGCACCTATTCGATCTTTCAGTCCTTATTTGATACACGTGAACGGGACTATATAATATATATTTTTATTCGCACGAGGTGCACAAGGTAGCAATGCTGTGCATTTTCACATGTAATCGTTGGCAAGGTCCATTACTATCTCTTTTCTCGTGGAGCATTTGAAGAATTATATAGCGATTTAAATTAGGAAAGACTTGATTGGACTTTTGGTTGGTCGAACATATGAAGCAGCGACAAATCCTTGTCGGAGTTGGATTACTAGCTTGCGTCGCCTATCCTATTTTAGATACAGATATTATGCATATAAGAGGTGGATTTTGATTTTAGCCCACTAAAAGAAACAAGAAATGTGTTAGGATTTTCTCTCCGCAGGTTTTTTGGATGAGTTCTCTTCGAAATATTGCAAGATAACACTTGTGGATTTATTTGGGGGTGATCTAGGGCTTGAAAATATTTGAGTGATCGAATGATTTAAAACTCTGTATTTGCCTAATTCATAATGGATTTCTTGGCAATTGGATCTACCAGTAAACTAGTTATCGAAGACCAAGCCATGTGAAACTATCGTCCATGTCAAAACTTTTATTAACCCAACATTTCTCTTTCTTTGCTTATTGACGTGAATTTGTTGGAGCTTAAATGAACAATTCGACATATCGTCGGGAAGTTCAAAACGTCTGATTAACCTATAACAGAAATCGCAAAATCTAAAGTTAACAGTTTGAGATAGTACTATTTATACATTTTATGGTTATCCTTGCAAAATAAGTTTTTATATATTCTTATCATCACGATATCGTTTTATCCATAACTTCTCGTTTAATAAATTTTCTTTTAAAATTTCTTTACACGGGAACGAATACACGGGACTAAAATAGGGTAAGTAGTGGATGTACCTAAGATGCATTAGAAGAATATTTGAAAAAAAAAATATTTCCACTTATGAAATCATAAAAAAGAAGGGGGAAATTTCATGTAATAAAACATTAGTCTATCTCGCTGGTGGGCAAAGTCATGTATCTACATGTTCAGCTCTCTTTCGATTTTAGGACCGAGGGTCCGACCGGGAATCTTGGAGGTGTTCGGGCCGGGCAGGGCCCCGCAAGTCACGTGCGTCGACGTTCTTTCTCGCGGCCTTTTGACCCACTTCCTTTCTTGCGCGTCACGTTCCGTGAGCGGCAAGACACGTGCGTGATTTGCCCAGAAAAAGAAAAAATCAAGTATTAATAAATCTTTGACCAAAAAAAAAAAGTATTAATAAATCAAAATTTGATTTTTTTGTTCTGTCGGTCCTATTTCTAAATTTTGTTATGCTAGAACGCGAGAATTTAGCTCCACACCTGTGATAGTAGCGTTCCCATCCCAATTCCTTTACCAACAGGACCGCTTGTCAAATCATTCACCGAGGCGATTTATTTGATGGATTATTGGGATTGGCATGCTTTACTCACTAATAAAAGGAGCTGATAATTTCTACGGCTCTTTATTTAGAAAATTAAATTTGTGGGTAAACTTTCTTTTTCTTTAATATGACGGGATAATGACACATACGGTTTTTGAACTTCGTCTCAATATACAATGTGATCCATGAATTTTAACCTAATGTGCAATGTGTTCCCTCAACTTTTAATATATGCAATGTGGTCTTTAAAATTTCTGTATATGTTCAATATAATTCCTGAGTTATATGAATTACATTGAACATTTTGGTATAGTACACGGACTAAATTGAGTATGTTCCAAAAGTTCAGAGACGGCATCGAACAGATTAAAAGTTCATGGAGACCACATTGCGCATCGAGTTAAAATTCATGGACCATGCCGAACAGATTAAAAGTTCACATATCGCATTGCATGTCGGATCAAAACTTAAGGACCGTTCGTGTCGCTATCTCGATATATTATTTACCAAAAGGCGAAAAAAAAGCACAAGAATGAAAAAAAAAAAAATTTGCACGACTTTTTCAACAATCCGACAAGTCAGTAGTTAGCACCAGTAACAGGATGTCCCCTTCATAGTTCGCAAGTGGCGGAGCACGAAGAGCAAAAGCAGCTTCGTATAAAAATATCGCCTTTCGCCCTCCTCGTCCACTTCTCCGATTCTCTCTTCTGAGCTCTTTAAACCCTAGGAAAAAAACCTCCTGATTTCAGCCGGAAGAGCATCCCCCTCATCGGCCTCCTCCTCACTCCTCCTTCAGGGCGGGTGGGATTCGCGCTTGAGCTGAGAGCGCACGAATTCTCGCACCCGAACGTGTAAGATTTCCTCGACCGGAGGTCGTTCTTCGATCGTTCATCGCACGCGTGTGTTTGGGTCGGGATCGTTTTTGGCTTTCGATGGGATTGGTGTTGTTTTAAAGGTCTTCGCTTTCGGTTGCTTTGGTGGGTTTGCTGATTTGGGTTTTCTCTTTTTTGGGCATTTGCAGGTTGTTCTTTGTATATCCTGAACCGCAGGCTGATATGGCAACAAGTGAGCTCCCACCTCCCCGACTGTTGTTTCGGTTGTTGTTGTTTCGGTTGTTGCTTTCTGCGAAGTTTCGTTTGCGTGGGTTTCGATAAAGGCGGCGACTTGAATTCGATAGGAGTCAGTGTTCGTTCGATTTCGTATTTGACCGGGAGTTAGTTTCGTTCGATTCGGTTGTGCTTGTGTTGGGATTCTTAGTTTCGTTGAATTGTGAATTGTGTGCAGGGCTCCAGTTTGAGAATTCGTGCGAAGTCGGAGTCTTCTCTAAGTTGACGAATGCCTACTGTTTAGTTGCAATTGGTGGATCGGAAAACTTCTACAGGTGCGTCGAATGGTTTTACGGCGCGGTCTGAGGATGATCTTTCGTTGTATCTTGCTTTGAAAGTTCGTGTCTTTTGTGCAGTGCGTTTGAGGCTGAACTGGCCGATGTTATCCCGGTTGTTAAAACGTCCATTGCAGGCACTAGGATCATTGGGCGACTTCTTGCAGGTAATGATCACTTTTTCCCCCTTTCCCATGCTAAATGTTTATTGGATGAAGCTGCTTTTGCTTACTGAGTGTGTATAAGCTAATGCCAACTTTTGATAACGCTACACTTTGACATTTCACTGCAGGAAACAAGAATGGGCTCCTTGTGCCGCACAACACTACTGACCAGGGTAAGTTTTTAATCTTGATTGCTTATAGCTTCTTGTAAGTTTTTGTTGATTAATAGCGTGGCGTTCAATTCTAATTCTAAATTCTAATGGGACGCGAGAGGGCGTACCAATTCTGACATATGTTTCTATAGGATACATGTGGGGGGACCTATCTATACGAATAAGGTTCTATTGATTAAAATTCTTTTGTTGGGATATTAATCTGAGTTTGTATATTGTTTCATGTAAGCTACAGTGATGCTTTGGTTGTCTGCTCATTTTCAATCATATCTACTCTCTTCTATTCTCTCTATATGTTTGTAGCCATAGGAAAAAGAAATCATACACCAAACTTGTTCTCTGTGAAGTAAACTGTACTTCAGAGCTGATGAAACTGTTAGCTTAAACAGGAAGTATTGGTCCACTTCATCATGTGGTGTAGGTGCAAGCCAGATAAATTTCCTTGTCAATTTTGGACCGGTCTGCTGATTCGACTTCCATTCTCTACTAACGTTTCTTTTCTTTCTTAGAGCTTCAACACTTGAGAAATAGTCTGCCGGATCAAGTTGTTGTTCAACGTATTGAAGAAAAGCTATCTGCCCTGGGGAACTGCATAGCATGCAATGATCATGTTGCCCTTACTCATACCGATCTTGACAAAGTAACTTTGTTTTTTCCTTGAGAAACAATCTTTTGTCAAGCAATTTGTGTCGAAATCCCAAATTTACGGAGTTTGATTGTGTTTTCTTCAATAAGAACTAAGTGCTACAATTCAGCACTTGTATGGTGGACTAAAACTCAGTTGTTTGGGTGATCTCTCTAAACATGTACAAAGTATTTTGTGGACCTCTCAGCAGCAATCACTTTTTCAAATTTTTCATGGCAGTTTCCAAAAAAAAAAAAGTGCTTCTATATTAGAAAAACGTATTCCTAAATGCATTAGGAAAAATAAGGCATATTGGGCAGCGTTGAAAGCTTTTTCCTATGAATTATCTTTGTGTTGAAAAAATTGTAGAACTTGTGGGAACATCATCCAGCTAGGATTTAGTGCCTTCCAGTGTGTGGTTTATGGAATCAAATCACCTTCTGCCCCTTTAAGAATTCCTTGCATGGTCCACTGAGTTTAGAAGAATTCTGATTTTTGATTGCCGTCTATTGGTTGAATCAGGAAACCGAGGAGATAATTGCAGATGTTCTTGGAGTGGAAGTCTTTAGGCAGACTATTGCTGGCAACATTCTTGTGGGTAGCTTTTGTGCCTTCTCAAACAGAGGTGGACTGGTAAGATAGGACAGTCTTTACATTGTCTTTTGTACAGTTTTGTACTTGGGCATTCTTTATGGGCATCTGCCTATTAGCTAAACTTTTGCCTTACAAGATGCTAAAATATGTTGGAGCAGGTTCATCCACATACATCCATTGAAGACTTGGATGAGCTCTCGACCCTCCTCCAGGTTCCTTTGGTGGCTGGAACTGTGAACCGAGGTAGCGAAGTAATCGGTGCCGGTATGACCGTGAATGACTGGACAGCATTTTGCGGTTCGGACACCACGGCGACTGAACTATCCGTGATCGAGAGTGTTTTCAAGTTGAGGGAAGCGCAACCCAGCGCTATTGTGGATGAGATGAGGAAATCCTTGATCGACAGCTATGTCTAGTTATTTATCTTGATCGTATGTGTTTGTCTGAACTTCGCGATTTTAAGTCTTATCAATTCGTAGACTACGAATTGAATATCATGTTTATTTGCCAATCAAGTCGAATTTGCGTACTAAAGTGGGGTGCCATCCATGTATGCATATGCGAAGTTTCCTCAGAGAATTATTGGTATGATAGCACCTAAAGAAAGACTTTACACTTGGACTTATTGCCAAAGATTGAAATCCCAACGTTCTTTTAGCAATTTGAGTGCCCTGTGAAGAGTCACCTCAAAGGCAATCGGAGTAGTCTGGATTATATGATCCAATGAAAACACTTCTGATTGATTACCAGCGAGCATTTACATTGTAGTCATACGAATATGACTTGGAAATACAAAGGTGGAGCAACATAAATGTTATTCAGAAAATATCACAAATATGACTCGTTTGTCCAATGACTACCTATGTACCTTTACCTTTGAAAATGTCAAATATATACTTGAAATTTGTTTTAGGAGATCACTTTACATCTTGACATCAATTATCTGTCTAAAATATCATTTTCTTTTCAAAAAAATTCATCCTCCGATTTTAAATTCTCACTCACCCAAAGCATTCAAAATCAATCAAATCATCCAAATCCTAAATAAGATTTTAAAATGAGTTCGCAAGGAAGGTTAACTTTGATCTATTCAATATGGGGTTTTATCAAGAGATGCATGATTGGTATTTTTAAAAGTAAAGAAATGTAAGTGGTCGTTGAGCTGGAAGTGGAATATATTTAGTACTTCACCAAGCTCCACGGCTCTGCAGAAAGCAAGTACATCCTATAAGTAAATGAAAAATCCAGAAATGCAGTCTGACGCCTGAAGTTCAGCTGGTAACCATATATTCTTGGCAAGAAACAAGAATTCGTCATACATTATTCAGACATATCTAAGTTAGGTCGCCGATGAAGAGAAACTCCGACGAGCTAAAAGCAAGAACAATGGTCGAGCAATCTAGAACAATTAAAGCTATAAACCACGATATGTATCGGCGATAAAAAGCTGCCATCACATCTCATGGTTTGTCAGAATTGTTCAGTAGTTGCAGTGATTGTCACATTCCGGCATATTGAACACCAGAAAAAGCTCTAATTTCCTTCCTTGATGTGGACACCACCTCGCTTTCTGAAGAACACTGCAATCATTCCGGCATAGCTCAGCCTTTTATATTCTCTCTCTCTGGATCAGCTGAAACTTCACCACTAGTTGGCCTGCAAGACATCATCAACTTGTCACTGCGCAGAGAATTGTGGAGTGTTGAAATTTACCGGAATAAAATCAGAATGAACTATACCCTATTTGTTGCCAGATTGGAACAGAATCTTCATTTTATGTGGTGTTAATGATCCAAGTTGTTGAAACTGTCATTCTACGTCTATCATACAAATGAAAGAAAGTTTGCACTTACTTTCTCTGGTTACGTACTTACAGAAATTTAAGGGTACATTACTATGTTGTCCAAAAACAAGTAGACAGACAAGCATCCAAATGCTGCTATATAATCCAAAGAAAAGCCTTAGGACGAGGGACTTTCCACTTTATCATTTTCTTTCCACATACTTGAGTAATCCATGCCTCAGACAATGTTGAAAAAACAAGCCATTTCGGTATCCCAAAGATCCATACATATGGATATACAACATATATCTCTTAATCAATTGCAAGACAAGGATTTGTACAACCATAGACAAGGATTTGTACAACCATACTCAAACCCTTGTAAATAAGAATAGAGTTAGAAGAATCCTGTTGGTGGGTCATTTCATTCTAAACTATAACAGGCTTTGGCCAGCGAATTTTGACAGAAATTTCTTGGATATGGCCATTAAGCAATTGTCAAAGAAAAATTCACCCATAAAGAGAAAACAAGTGAATAAGACAAGTTACTGACGAAAGAAATAGTAAAATTAGAAAGGCAAGTGTGCACTTACAATCCACTAAAAATCTTGATGGTATCATAGAACAACCACTGCAGAGTTACAACAGGTCCAACGAGTATAATTCTAATGGGAAGGCTCCTCGTAAACAGATTCGCAAACCCAATACTCCTGATTGCCTGTTGCAAATTTTGAACTTATAGATCAGATCGAACTTTTCTGAGACATTAGGGTAAATAACTGCTTACAAACATATACCAGCATGAGACTGTCAGCTTTTCTGTTGTTTATTGAAGCAACAATATTATCAGCAGGATTTGATATGAAGCTACCAACAGATCCAGCAGCATATCCAGCTAAGCATGTTACCCCGAGTTGTTGAACTTTTGAGCAATCCTCCTTTCTTCTTCTAATAACATTACGATACAGGAAATCCACTGAATGCTCAAACGTCGAGAACATCACCATTGAAACTGCCTAGGGACAAAATTAAGAGAAGATCAATATGCAATAATACTGGGTTTCTTGCACACAATGGTTCAACAACTTGGTGTGAGTTTCTGTACTTTATTTTGAACATAATATGGACTATAAACATTAAGAAGTAAAACATGCGGGCATAACATGAGGACAAACCATCCACCTATAGATCAGCTATCCCACCTAAAACCTTTGTGGATTAAGTTTTTAATGTCACCTAGAAAGAGAATGGTCTGAGACAGCTCTCTTGTAGCAGCTTCCATTCATCTAGCATCTTTTAGATGCAATATTCAACACGAGAAAGGCTGACCAACTCTACTTAGCACAAGAAGGAATGAAAAGATTACATGGAAGATTTCGACCCCAAAGCGGTAGAAGCCCTCTGTAAAATCTGAAAGCAAGAACAGCATTAGAATGTCACTCCTAACTCTAACACAAGTAAAAAATACTAAGGCTACAAATATTACCCTAGAAGGCCTTCTGATGCATATACTTTAGGGAAGCCATCAACCAAGCCTTTTGCAAAGTGCGGCTGTGCTTGAACCCGGATTTTAACGGCTTCAAAAGGGCAAAGTGCAACATTTGCAAATGCTTCTGCAGAAGCACTGCTGAGAAAAAAAATCAGGCTCCTGTTGCTGCCGACCAAGATGTTGGAGTAAACCTGTTTGAAGTACTCGTAGAGACCGAATCTGCACCCACCTTGAGCACCATATCCAAAGAACTTGGTAGCCCAACCTCTCCAAAAAGCAGAAGGGCCTTGCTCTCTCAATAGAGAAGTGAAACATGAGTGAATGCTGTTATACTTGATTGGATTCACCTACAAGATAACAAGGATTCACGTATAAAACGTCCAAGAGAAACAAATCTTTGCAGAAATATTAAATACATGCCAAAGAAGGAAAATATGAGCCACACTGCAGAAGCATCCAATTCTCGTTGAAGATTGGACTTTCCACATTCAATTGGATATGACCATATCAGCAGTTCCGGGTCACATTGTCACCAGAATAATATGCAAACAAGTCATATAATGAATCAAGTAAACTCAACCAGTAATAGTTCAATCATTGTGGGAACATATATCATACCACCTCTTTGAATTCAATTTCTTGAGCCTATGTCATCAACAAAACTAGCACCAAAAACAGAAAGTGATTTGGGGTCTTACCTCTGATACGCCGATGAGGAAACAATCAACTGACTCAATTTATTCACTGAGCTCAACTAAAGAACAGAAACATGTTCCTCCAATGCATAGAATTGACACTACAGCATTGAACAAGCAGAACGCCAACAAAAAACAGAACATCCATTTCACTATGACCCAGAAAATAAAAATAAAGCTGGAGCTAAAAAAACCAAAAACAAAAAAAGCAGAGAGAGAGAGAGAGAGAGAGAGAGAGACGAAACCTGCATATTGACTTTCAAGACATCAAGAGGAGTTATGACCAGGTGGGTGGTTCCAGCACTGAGAACTCCTCCGACCGCACAAACTCCATAGTAATGTCCTCCTTTGTACTCCTGGCGCATTCTCTCTTCCGCCACCTCCCTCATCATTTCCCCTGAAAAAAAAAACAGGAAAAATCAAAACTTGATGATACCATAACCAAAAAACAGGAGATCTCCAACAGCCCATCTCAGAGAGTCTCCCCCATCGCCTCGCTCTGCATCTGCAAACCAGTTTCCTTCCTCAACTTACCCGATCGAGCGAGAGAGAGAGAGACGACGGCGAGAGCAAATTCCCCTGGAGAATCTACGCAATACGTGCGCGTCTCTTATATTTTGGTTCGGACATCTTGCGCTTAAACCCCTAAATAAAACCCCATTCCTCGGAAGTGCACCGAACGGCAATCGTAAGCCGCCACACGCTGTCGTTTTGGTTGTCAGTTTGTGGAGACCACGGTTTTACTCGTTTATACTCCGTTTGTTTCGTGAAAAATCAATAATTCAAAAAATATTTTCCAAAAATTGATAACTTGTATTGCTCGAAATAATTAGTTAATACTGACCAAAAAAATTTAATTAATGAAAAATATTTTTCTTATCAGCAATAATTTATATCTGAACATTTTCGTGAACGGTGAAAATATTTTTCGTTCATTCAATTTTCTAAACAATACAAAAGATCATTTTTAGGAAAATATTTTTAAAATCATTTATTTTTCGCGAAACAAATAGAGGCTTACTATTCTGCCAACTTCATTTTTAGAGAGACGACCAACCACTCTTATGTTTGTTTAGTTATAAATGGTGCGGTTATAAGTGGTGGATATTATTCACATGCAAAATTAATTGAAAATGTAATCTCAGGCGATGTTCATAACTGTAACCCATTAGTTAACAGGGTATGTCATCAACCTGAATAGGAGGAAAATACGATGCCTTTTCTTTTCTCGAGTCTTTTTTTTTTTTTCCTATTATCATATTGTGATTTTACTCACGTGATAAACATATAAAGCCACGCATCGCCATGTCAACAAATAAAAAGGATACGCCACGCAAGGCCGAGGAATGTCGATGAGGGTCGTCGTACACACGTCGTATCGAGATAGGTCCTAGAAATTACAAGATTGACATCGTACTTCACACTTTTATATGTGAAAGCCCCAGGCGGTAGTACTGCGGTAATTTACTGGAATTTTACCAGAAGCAAGGATGTAGGGTGGAAAATGGTGGAAAATGAATGCTCGATTTTATAAAATTTGAAGGTTTGATTATGTGTTTTTTTCTGGAGAAGATAACGTTTAGGCACTTGTGGTAATTGAACGGGTCCATTACTTTTCGACCTTAACAAGGAAATGGAATCCTGTTGGATTCATCATAATTCAGTTGCCAAAAGAGAGAAGATAAATCTTCATTGGAGACTCACAACAATGAGAGAGTCATGCTCTGATCGATTCGAAATTCACAGGCAAATTGATCTATCGACTATAGTACCCGTATCTCGCAATCCACAAGTTCGATTATCGGCGATTTTACTTATGTATCATATGCTATATGTACACATCAACTTTCATACTTGGTAGATCTTATGTACAATCTTCCTCTTTTCAATGGTTGCAACTGTGATGAACATCGAACCCCTTCAGGGAGAAATCGAAACAATTCCCCCCCCAGCATTATTCGAGGTGCCATTGTTTCCCACTAGTTCTTGTACCGATAATATGCGAGCGAGTGTCCAATCCTTCGGTTCCCGAACGAAGCGAATCGGAGCGAGGGCATGTAGATCGATGGACGGTCGATCGTCTCCGATGCGCTGGGCAGGGCCAACGGATCGGAGAGCCGACTGAAGCGGCGGCGGTCGGGGTCGTTCTTGAGGCGCTTGAAGTACTTTTGGGCGTGACTCGCGACTTGGGTCGGGTTCCGGGTCCTGACGCAGTTCCTGGAGATGCTCTTCCAATCACCCTTCCCAAACTTTGCCAAACCCACGAGGAACAACCTGTGAATTGAAAATCAACAATTGCACCCCAATTGTTTTGATCAGTATATATATCCATAGGGCACAAAGAAGAAAGATTAGGGCCTTTCCTTGGTTACACATGGAACAAATGAAATTCAATCGCCAAAGAAGAAAGAAAGGTACACGAAAACGATGATAGTTAATTTCTACATCCAGATACGGTAAAAGACAAGATAACCGTTATATTCCTGTCAAGACTCGAAATCATGTGGCCATGCTGTCTCTATCTTACGGACAAGCCCACTTCGTGGATTTTTATCCACTAAAATTATGTGACGCAACCACTGGGCCAACTTTCCTATTTGGAAAGGGAGAGGTGGGGAGTTTGATTCCCCACCTTCTTAAGAGGACTAGGGGTAGAGACGTTTAATTTCGGATATAGTTTCAACTTCCACACTTTGCATAGAGGTAGAACAAAAGTCTGAGAGTGAGTTGAGAGTTAGAGTATGATAGACAAAAAAATTACTTGGCGCAATTAATAACTAAGCGACAGGAATAACAGCATCGCCAAGGGGTCGAAAGATTGATGAATCAATTGAGATTTTTTCCGTATGAAGCTATCTGGAAATGACAAGCATCTAAAACGACAAACCGAAAAGGGAATAAGAGGAATGAAATCTAACAAAAAAACGATTAGACGGCGGCACCAACGTGCTTGGGTAGTGATTTTTCGAGCTTCAAAATTACAGAAGCACAAAAAGAACTCATGTAAACATTAGGGCAAAAAGTCATACTCATGTTCTTCCCTGCTCCATCCGACTCCCCTCCTTCTTGGGGCTCGCCGAGTGCTCTTACCCTCCCTTGGCTCATCGCTTGGCTCTGTCTTCACATCAACCTTTCTCTTAGATTTGTCGTAGTCGGGGATTGGCACTCGACCCGACTCGATCTGGTCGACGTCCTCAACCAATGCCTCAAAGTGCCTCATGATCTGCCCTACGCTCTTTTTGGGGATCCTTTGCGCAATGTTGTCGAAGAAGTCCCTGGACAGATGGTCAAGCTCAGCAATGCACCTCTCAAAGATCTCGTTCTCCTCAGGAGTCCAGTGGTCTTTGATGGGTTCCGGTGGTGCTGGGGGTGACAGCAGATAGGTCAGGTAAGAGTAACCTTGGGGTATGGCTTCAAAGAAGTACTGTGACTCCATGCGGAGCACCATAGTGGAGATCTGATTGAAGGGGAGAAAACCCTTCCTGGAGATGATTTGAGGGAAGAGATTGAGAGGGTGGTTTCTTGATGTTGGTGTAGGCTTTGGTGTTTGATTTTATGGGGGGGTTTATATAGAGTATCGACTGTTCTAATTTGAAGAATGGACCGACCCCTTTGTGCATATCTATGGTAAATTGAGAGGACCTAAGTTGGAAATGATGTGGCAATTGGCATGCCGAGGGACAGTTTGGGAAACATTTTCTGGCTTTTAATGGCAGGGCCAATCCATTAGCATTAAGAAAGAATAGAATCGAGTCAATCATTCTGTATATTGGCAATATGTAGTTGCATGGGGGAGCACGTGTAATGTGCTTACCGTTTGCATAACTATTTTCCATTTGTGCTCATGCATAGCTTTGATTAGGTTTCTACTCATCTGTTATGGAGACGAGATTGAACTTGGACAGAATGAAAATTGACAATAAAAGATAAGTAAATGTACATAACCATCAAAACGATAATTATTCATATATATAAAAGAGATGAGTATTGATTAGTTCTAACCGGAAAAACCGCTTCTCCCGTGGTGAGGCTAACGCGGGCGGAGCACTCGTTGTCCTTATGGCTATCTTTCTTACGGTTACTTCTACCGGTCGCAATTATTGTACAGAAGTTTCGATATATCAAGAAATTACGATGCATGAGAAAGTGTATCGAGTACGTGCATGTAATAATTAGATTTGATGAGGCGATTTGCCGTCTTATTACCTAGTTTTTGACTTATATCCCGAAATTTGCTTATTCCCTTGATAAAAGTAAAGTTCCTTTCACAACATCATTGGGAAAATTGTCCAAAAATGTTCTAAACCTATTTTCGGCGGCTAATTCAGTCCTATAATTTTTTATTTGGCCAATTTAGTTTTAAATCTTCTGACAAATTTTGAAGATAGTATTTCTGTTCAATTTTAACTAAAAATTACTGATGTGACAGTCCATTCAACGCCAACTGATATTGACGTGAACAGTTTTTACATTATTTTTATTTTCTCCTGAAAAATGAAAGGATATACATGGCCAGCAGCTGACCGTTGCCGGCCACTATGCGAGGCAAGGTGCAAGGGTCGTCATTGCCACTAGGCGAGGTGCGAGGGACGTCGCGACCGCTCGCCTGTGGCTGGTGACCCCCTCCGACCCTTTCGGGAAGATGAACATTGGAAGAAAACAAAAAGAAAAGACAGGAAAAGAAAATAAAAACCATAAAACATAAAAATTCTGAAAATTTTATAAAAAAAAACTGCAAAAATTGTCTATATCAGCATCGGCGGCCGGCGTCCATGTTAGCAATTTCCGGTTTATGACAAAATTTCCTTTTTTTGTTTCTTGTTTTACTCTAATGATCTAGATCTAAATTTCGTAGTTATGCTTCCCTGATCTAGTTCTAGATCTAGAAGTTTTAACGAACAAAACTACAACACCACTTTCAATAATGTTCACAAGAGCTTCGGTGTTGTATCTGTGCTCTTTCAACATGTTTTTATTAGGAGAAGCTCCGGTGTTTCGCACTTGCTAAATGGCTCTCTCTCACAAGCGTCAGATCTGAGCTTGTTCAATATGTTTTTATTATCTCCATACTGTGATGGCGTTGAGAATATCGAACCTAAGTGTTCTCAATGCCGAAAGGCAAAGCCTTAACTACAGAAGGAGATCCCGACGTATGCTCATTACTAATGACGATGCGAGATTCAATGACCGGTCATCGATGCTTTTGCTTGAATGCAGTAACAAATCTGTTCTTTAGGGACAGACGTACGCTTACCCTTGCCGACAATGCTCTAGTGATATATCTTGATTTCTAAAATTTGGCTTGTATTGTTGCTCTATCAGCTTGTCTTGTTATGACTAGAATTTGATATGAATCCTCTCATGTATCGTTTTGGAAATAAATGAAAATATCTTTTAAATAAAAAAAAATTGGCCAAATCAAAAAGCTTAGGATTAAATTGACCGCCGCACAAAATGTTTATGACTTTTTAGACAATTAACTCTTAACATTAACCGTCAAAATCCAACCGAGATTCATGAAATCTTTTCCTAGCTTTTTATTGATTAGAGTGGACTGCCCATATCGGATGGTCACTGACTTCACATGTTGTGCAGAGGACCGAGGATTGAAACTCTTCTAAAATTAAATTAGGAAGATCTATGTGTCTGCCGTGTTGATGGTGTCCAATAAGCTCAGTAGTTTCTTTCTTGAAACGAAGAACTCCTTTTGGAAAAGAATTTCTGATGACTTGTGTCTAAGTGAGCGGTACAATTAAACTAAGTTCACCATATCACCAAGTCGATGCATCGAATGAACTCAAACCAATTGTCCCCCATTTAATTAGCATGCGTAAACCTGGAGATAAGAACCCAATTGGTCGTAGACCTAGGCGCGTTTGGTAACATTTATGTTCTCGGGAGCAATTTTTGTTCAAAAATACTTTAGTCTATTTCTATTCCCGAAAACCAAAAGGTAATTTTTTTTTTACTTCTCATTTTCGTTCTAAATCCATTCCCTGGTCACTAATCTATTTCAGAGAATAAAAAATTAACTGACGTACATAAACATATTTATATTCTTTTTCTGTTCCGGAGAACAAAAGAACAGAAATAAACCAGTTACCAAATAGGTTTCTACTATACGGACGTCAATTCATGTTTAAATTTTTTTAATTTTGTCAATATAGTTATAAATTTTTCCGCGAAATTCCAACGTACTCCTCCCTATCAATTGCCACCAAAAATTGTTGCGGTAAGTTCCCCACAAATCTGTCACCAGATAAAGACAAAAGCCGAGCCCTATAATTCGCACAAGTCACTCATCACTAGATCGAAACCATCTCTTAGGGGCCCCAAGCTCTGAATGTCGTCTTTCGCGACGCTATCGTATTATAAGGCTAAACAAACTTCGAAAACTTCGGAACACATATGACCTCAGAAAGATGGGAGATGATCATATTTATATGAGAAGTTCCTTTTTCAGATAAGTGGAAGATGATTATATTCATATGAGAAGTACTTTTTTCAGATGAGTGGAAGTACTTCGATCGTAGAACTTTTCATTCAGTATAACAATGAAACAAATGCTGCTCCTGGAGTTTTCGATTCTCGTCGCTTCAATGGACACAAAGTATGTCTTTCCGTTCAAGATGTGGCGGCCGAAGCTCCTAATCAAATGCGGTTGAGTTCATGACTTGATACGTTAGTAAAGATCTGTCCCGAATAGTCTGCATAGTTTCGCTTATCGCTTCGGAGTTGTCCCCTGGAAATTCCTAGTTCCGACTGCTGAACAAGAACACACCAGAGATCGAACTACCGGGCTATTAGCTTTGTAAGTAACCAGTCCCAACAAAAAGATCACTCCTACCACAAAGATTATGGGTGTCACATGAATTACAAACAGTGTGTAGAAGACCCCTAATAAAAATTCAGGTTGTCGAGCTCACAGCAGAACAGAGTTGGTTACTTCCTCCAAGCCGCACCATTCTTAATAGTCGCCGGACAACTACATTCCCTAGGCAACTGTCGCCCTCAACCTGCATCGCAAGCCTAGCCAGCTCGTTCATGGTTCTTTCGTCGGGGCAGTCTTAACGAACGAAAATTCAGCGGTATCACTGGCTTTATCCCCGTGATCAGAGTCGTTCACTTGTATTACTTGTTCCTCGCGATCAACTTTCGAGATTAAATTCTCTGTGGCAGATGTCGGCGACAATGTGTCCCTGTCGTAATCAGATAGACTGTTGTCGTCGCGGTCGTACGAGCGAACCGAGTGCCCAGTCGTCTTGAAGCGGCGCAGCCTGTTGCTCGAAGATCGCACGGTCAACGGGCTTGGGCTCGGGCTCCGGCTCCGACCGAACATCCGAGTAGGGGATTTGCCACCCTGTGTGCCTTGCCTCTTTTTCACAGCCATGTGCCACTTCTTGAGAGCCTTGGAAGTCTCCTCGTCAAAGATCGATTTCTTCATGCCCGAGCCCATCTGTGTTCATGCACCAATTTTAATGCATTCAACATCAGATTCCGCACTAGATTCTCAATGTATGTACTAGAAATACAGATTAAAGTGACACAAATACATTCTAATGATAATTCTATGTTAACGAAATATACCTGAGTTACGAGGGCGTATAAGGGAAGAGTAATGTAGCTGCAGAGAAATAGGACTCCAATCCTGCACAATGTTTTCCTTGAGATTATATAAAGCTTAGGACTTAATTGTGAACCCATCTGCTAGGCACTTCCAGTGACAGCTTAATTCGACTTATGCCAGCTATCAATGAAGGATTAACCGAATTTGGGAGACTATATTACATGACCAAATGCAAATACAAGAAGAAAAGCAATTTTGCGACCAATTTTACGAGGCAATCTTCCCTTTGATTCACAGAATCTACTGCCGTTTATAAGAGATGATGATTTCAAGGCTATTTCAATATTCAATGTGTTGTTAACATAAACAATGTCCAAGCTATAGCGATATCACAAAGAGAAGAAACAGCAGATCAGCGGCTTACCCTAGAGCAACTTTCACGATTGCAAGCTTTACATTGTCATGGAAGCAAGTATCCCAGCCGAATGAGTACTACAGAGGAAGAAACTTTTATTTGAATCGAGACGACTAAAGATGATTTTGAGTGTACAACGAAGCTTGTAAAGATCAGGTCATTACCCAAATCCACAGAAAATATGTGATCTGAAATGCATTCTGCACCAAAAACAAAAGCTTAGTGAAGGATCTCAACCAAACCAAGCTACTGTATAATTATATCTGCATGCTTATCCTTAGAGTAAGACCCATGGAAAAAAACTGCAGATTATTTTTTACGCTATAAGAACTTGAAGCCCCTCCATCTAAATCGAATTTCGAAAAAAAATAAATAAATTTCATTTACTAGACAAAAAAAGTTTTTCAAAAAGCCTTCGCCCTCCTATTCAACAGGGTTATTATAGAAGCAGCTTTGTCCCTCGACT